CAAATGAGGCATTTGTTGCATCCAGTGGGGACGTAATTACTGATTGCGTTGCGTATCGCGCCGCGTAAACATAAAACAATGTCTGGAGAAACGACAAACAACAAGCGCTACTCTACACTGCTCAAAACTCGCGTTTGAATCATCAGTGGCAAATTCTTTAAATGTAAAAAACGTACTTACAGTCTGGGAGTAAGAAGCGCCAGACTGTCCTTGCAAAGTTGAAACTGCCCCACTTTATAGAAACAGCCTTTGTGCACAGACGCATTGTAGTCTACTCTCCCAGGATCAGGAAACAGTCCTCCATAAAATGCGCTGCACACATCTGAATATTTGGGTTAAACTGTTCTGGAACAGTGTTGTAAATACAACTTAACCACTGATGTCTAGTCGTGTCCTCTTTTGGAAGGCCAAACAAAGTCGTTTCGCTTTCACAACGAAACACAGCGTCTCCACAACATGGCGGCGGCGGCGGCAACAACAATACTACAGCGAGAATAAAAGTCACGCCTTCTTTCTTTGCCTGAACATTTAGGTGGTGTTATGCAAATCTTCCCACACAGTGATGTAGATATGTGGGGGCTTGTTAGAATGAGCCGTTTTAGGAGGGCGTGGACAAGTCTTAACTTTTATAAAGAATATCTCTTTGGGTTTGAGACTTTAGTCTTGGCAATTTTAGGGATCTTATCTATTCACGAACAGCTTGTAACACTCCAAAGAGAAAGGAAAATTTGAAATTGCATCATATGACCCCTTTAATCATATTTTTAGAGGGGACAACCCTCAGATAGCCTCAACCCTCTTTTGGGAGAGCAGTGGCTTTCTTCTTGCAACTCTGCCATGCACACCATGGTTGTTCAATGTTCTCCTGATGATGGGCTCAAAAACATTAACATTAACCAATGTGAGAAAGGCCTTTAGTTGCTTAGAAGTTAGCCTGCAGTCCTTTGAAACCTAGTGGACATTTACACGTCTTGCTTTTAGAGTGTTCTTTGTTGGGCAATCACTCCTGGGGAGGGTAACAGTGGTCTTGAATTGCCTCCATTTGTACACAAGAGTCCAAACTCTTTAGAGATGGCTTTGAAACCTTTTCTAGCCTGATGAGCAACAGCAACTCTTTTTTCTGAGGTCCTCAAAGATCTAATTTGTTTGTGCCATGATACTCAAACATGACCAAACTTTGATAGTTCCCTGTTCTTTAAATAAACCAGGGCACACACTGACACCTGATAGTCATCTCACTGATTAAAAACACCTCTGAACAGATGGACTCTAATTTCACCTTCAAATTAACAGCTCATCCTAGAGATTCACATACTTTTGCTGCTCACAGATATGTAATATTGGATCATTTTCCTGAATAAATAAATGACAATGTATATATTTTCATCTAATTTGTTTGATTGGGTTCTCTTTGTCAACTTTCAGGACTTGCTTGAAAATCTGATGATTTTTGGGGTTATATTTATGCAGAAATATAGACAATTCTAAAGGGTTCACAAACTTTCAAGGAGCACTGTATATATGATGATTATGAGCCTGTGCCTGATTTAGCCTGAGTGGCTAAAAAAAATTAAACATTACACTAAAATCCATATAAATGTTCAGTTTTAATTTGACAACAAATACATTTTATTTATGTTTTTATTTTGTCTTATTCATTCTTGTCCTGATTTGTCTATAGTTTCAGCAAATACATCTTCATCAGAAAATTATACTGAGGTAAGTGCTGGGCAAGTACACAAAAAATTAGTGTAGAATTAACTTAGAAACAATTTTCACTCAGAAATTGCACGTACACTTCACAATTAACTGCAAAGAAAGGCAAGCAACACATTGAGTTAAATATGAAATTCTAAAATACTTATATAGTATTATATAGTCAATTAAATAGTATTTTCTTGTAAAACAATAAGCTTCAATATATATAAATATATATATTTTTTTTTTCTTGTGTAATATTTGTGTAATAATTATTGAACTACAACTGCTTTTTTCCCCAAAAGCTATTCTGTCCAGCATTTGCTTGCACGAATGATTGTTATGACCAGTTCATGAATACGACAGCGAAGCCTTGCCAATCCAGTGAATATATCTGTAAGGTCAGTCTGCCGTGCTGCGCTTTCAGATGGGAACCTCCAGTGGAAAGTAATCCATGCAAATCATGCACTGATGCAGGCTTGATTTAAAGAGTTACTTCTCACTCTGTTGTGCTTCAGATAATGAAAGGGGACACAGGTTACTCTGTCAGCTGCAGTGCCTCATGTGGCGTGTCCTGCGGGAACGGGACTCTCAGTAATTGCTCTGTCAACTGTTGCAACACAACCAACTGCCTCAACAACACTCTGCATGCCATGTCCAATTCACTCAGTACCACAGGTAACCTCCAACTCTTTCTCCTATTATCTCTAACATATGTGAGTCGAAACATTTGAATATTGACTCTTTTATTACTGCTATCTTATCATTAGTAGCTACAACAAAACCCACTACTACAACTACAACCACAACCATAAAGACCACAGTTCCAACCACCCCAGCAAGCAATGTAAGAACACACACAGCTATTTGTCACTTTAGGGCACAAACAAACATTTTCTGCCACCTTCTCACGTTTCTTTGTTTTTCTTACTCCCAAAAGGGCAAGAAGTGTCATAATGTCACGTGTAAAAAGATTTAAAAAGCTAGTGTTAGTTTTTAATTTTTTTAAGAAAACAATCAGTAAATGAATA